GATAAATGATAAATAAGGCAATGACGAAGGTGCTGTGTTAGAAAAATGAAGAAAAACAGGAAGGCATTTCCAGCTTTCTGTAAGGAACTTGAAGGCTCTCTGAGGAGGTAAATTTAAGCTTGCATGGAAGGATAAGCTAGAGCCAGCCCTATGAAGAGAGGAGTAAAATTCTCTCAGGTGAAGGAACAACATGGCCAAATGCTAGTAATTTGGGAAAAGCTGACCTAATTATTTTTGGGAACTATAAAAGGGCCTGTGTAGCTGGTATTTGCTGCAAAACATTAATGATATTGTTTAGGTTCATGAAGTTGAAATAAATGCTAAATCCTTGAGGACATTTTTATACATTTATCTTAATAATCAGCTTCCTTATATATACCTCCAGAAAATAATGTGATTTGATTACTACCAAGATTGATATAAAATTATTTTAATTTAGAGGAAGAAAAGGACTATACAGAAATAGCATTCCCAAGTGTACTCTCTCACCCATGACTCTAACTCCAGAGTCTGCAAAGATTTCTTCCACCAGCAATTTCCTTTTCTCATTTCTCTTTACATCTAAAATTATTTATATTTTTATGTCATGAGTAACTAAGACTTCATAAACTAGTTTGTAGTGTTCATCTTCTTCATTCCTAGGTATTTGTCAATTTTTTTATTCCTTACTCCCTCACAGAGTTGGAGTCCCTTCATTAAGGAAAATCTCAATTACCTAGGCCACCAGCTTTAGGTTCCAGCAGTTTTTTACACCACATATCTGACTTTGTCTGTTACTCTGTAGGGTACAGAAAAGTGATAGATGCTCTCCCTGAGAGTCCATTCCATTTTACATGTAAAGTGTCAAAAATAAGAGCTACATTCTAAGCTCTTTCTTAAAACAGCACCTAGTATTAATAGAACATTCTGTGTCCAGTGGACATATGCAAACATTCTTAGCTGACTCAACAATTGAACTGAGAGAATTGCATATTTCTGGCAGGGTCAAGTGTCAGGCTCATTAAATGCATCTTCATGTTAGCCAAAGAATTGAATGAAATACCAAAGCAAGTTTGGCAACAGTTCTTCCAGGTAGGCAAATTTTTTATTTTAAATTTGGATTTATTTTTCTGTTTTGTAAATGAATGAGACTCAAACTTCAGATTCAAATCAATATTTTAATTAAAAATAAAGTTTGCTAGCATTAGGACAAATACGTAATGCATACGGGGCTTAAAACCTAGATGACGGGTTGATGGGTGCAGCAAACCACCATGGCACATGTATACCTGTATAACAAGTCTACACGTTCTGCACATGTACCCGAGAACCTAAAGTAAAATTTAGAAAAAAATGTTTAACTTGCAAAGGCACATTTGAAAAAAAATAGATATGCTGTTTTAATTTTACTAGCATTTTATAAATTTCAATGCAAGTTTTGGCAAAGATCCACACAGTTACAAAACTACCTGACATGCATGGTTTTGGTACTATTTATTTAGAAAGACCTCTTATAAAACAAATGTTCCTGCCAAAATAGGAAGTACAAATATTGTACTCTGTGTATTACAACTTGTCAAAGGCATGATGTGGTGCCCTAATTCAGGAGGCCTGGGTTTGATTACAACTCTACTGCCAATTAAAATTCACAGTGGCTATTTTTTGAAGTGTCATATAGCATTCTCAAAGGTTCTAAGTAGAATGAGGGTTCTTTTTTATTACTAATAACTTTTCTGTACCTACCATGGTTTTCAAAGGGTTTCTGAAATTGTCATAAAGTTGGCTGTTGGTTTCTCTTTACCTTCCAAAAGAAGACTGAGGAGTGTCTCCCTTAGGAATAAAAGGTGCTAAAGCACTTGCAATTTTCTGCTTCAAAATAGGGGACTTATCTCATGAATTTGTTCTAGAAAACTAGAATCATAGAATTAGTCTTTCCTGGAAGCCACTGAAAGTTCTAGGAAGCACTTGGCTACATTTGAAAGAAACACTCAAAAGAGATAGCTTGATCCAGGTCTAAATCCCTCAGAAGAAACAGGAGTGGACTGGGTTCTAGGGCCTCAGTCCGAGCACCATCAGGAGGCCTTATTTTATCCCTACCTGCTTATAGGATGCTTGGTATGGCAGAATTCTAATCCTACTTTGGGCTGTTGTCCCTTTGAAACTTAAAAATACTGAAACAATCAATTCTCTCTTCCTCTTCCCTGCTAGCTTGTTGCCCCGGTTCACTCCTTTACCTCTTGTCCAGATTCCTGCAATAACTACTGAATGCATGTCCCTGCCTACTACAGAATGACTTTGGAATTAATTTGAATGGCTTATTCAAATCCCCCAATTCTACCCATGGGAATGCTAAATTGAGCACTCTCTTCCTCTGTGCTTTAAATACAAAAAGTTTTTTTGAGAGCAAAGGAGAAAGCAGCATCACATTCCTTCTCCACTGCTACGGTTAGGCTTTGTTTCCCCACCCAAATCTCAACTTGAATTGTAATTCCCATAATCCCCATAATCCCTACATGTTAAGGGAGAGACCAGGTGGAGGTATTTAAATAATGGGGGCATTTCCTCTTGCTGTTCTCATGAAAGTGAGTTCTCATTCGATCTGAGGGTTTTATAAAAGGCTCTTCCCTCTTTGCTCAACACTTCTCCTTCCTGCTGCCTTGTGAAGAAGGTGCCTTGCTCCCCCTTTGCCTTCCTCCATAATTTTAAGTTTCCCAAGCCATGCTGAACTGTGAGTCAATTGAACCTCTTTCCTTTATAAATTACCCATCCTTGGGCAGTTTTTTATAGCAGTGTGAGAATGTACTAATACATCCACATACTCTCACTTCAAGTTTTGGAGGAGGATAGCTCATAGTCCCAGCATGGACAAGATGTGTAGGACAGAGAGGCGATGCCCTGTTCATTGTGACCAGCTCTGCTTGGACCCCAGCTGATTCTTGTTCATGTAGGAGTGAGGGGAATGGACTACCACCTGAAAAGGGGGGATGGAGGTAATACCAGACACAGGTGCCTCCTAGGCTTAGGTCTTATCTCTGCCCTCCTTCTTTCCATCAGAACAGGAACTCTTTCTTATTCCTCCTTTTCGTTTGAGAAGAAGGAAACTTATATGTCATTGGCTTGTTTCCCTCTTAAAATCAAGGCAGAGGATTCAGGGTCTAATTACCATCGATTTACCTGCATTATCATTCATTGGAGACAAGCTTGGTTCTAAGCTTTGTTCTACTTTGGGAATTATGACATTCTTCTAGTGAGATTTACTCAGGTTTGAAATGTTTACTCAGTACTCACCAAAAATGTGGTCTACGTGACTTAATTTTTCATTGTTCTTTAGAAAATCACCAGTACTTAAAAAGAAATTTTGGTATCCTCTTGTCTTTCTTCAAGATAATTACAAAGAGATCTTCAAGAAATTTCACATACCTTGCCTCTTGTCTTATTCCCTTCAGATATAGCTTTCCCACTGTCCCCAGAGTCTAGCATCCAAAAGGCAAATCTGATTATGCCACTCTTTTGCTTAGTAAATATTCAGCGGCTCTACTTTGCCTCCAAGATTATTAATAGGTATCAAGGGCCCCTTGAGATGGGTTCCCATTGCTCCCTGCACTACTCAACATTCACAGGCAACATTAAAATGCTGCCCCCACCATGCAGGGTTTTATTTTCTTTCTTGCTTCCTCTCTTGCTACCTCTCCTCCTTGAATATTTTCTCACACTTCCCCCTTGTCTTGGCAAATTCCTGCTCATTTTTTAGGATTTAGTTTTGTCTTCACTCCTCCAGAGCATCTCTTCTGATCTCAGTGTGTCCCTAGTCTCTCAGTAACCTAATATAAGTCTGTCTTTTCACGTACCGTGTTATCATTTAATTTGCTGTTTATGTGTTTGTTGTTTTGTAGGTCTAATCATCTACCTCAAGCTGCTGGCAGAGATGCTAACAAAAATAGATATTCAATAGATTTTTCTTTCTTTCTTTCTTTCTTTCTTTCTTTCTTTCTTTCTTTCTTTCTTTCTTTTTCTTTCTTTCTTTTCTTTCTATCTTTCTGAGGTTCTCAATGCTCAATTTAAAAAAAATAATTTTTCTCTACCTTTTTAATTTCAATAGGTTTTTGGGAAATAGGTGGTGTTTGGTTACATGAATAAATTTTAGTGAGTTCTGAGATTTTGGAGCACGCGCTACCTGAGCAGTGTACACTGTCCCCAATGTGTAGTCTTTTATCCCTCACCCTTCTCCCACCTTTTCCCCTGAGTCCCAAAAGTTTATTGTATCATTCTTATGTTTTTGCATCCTCATTTGCATTCCCACTTATGAGTGAGAACATACTGTGTTTGGTTTTCCATTCCTGAGTTACTTCATTTAGAATAATGGTCTCTAATTCCATCCAGTTTGGTCCTTTTAGGACTGGTTTTCTCTGCAAGACTTATGAGGGCAAGAAGGTGGCAGCATCTAGCTATGAATGAGTTCATGCTGATACTAGGAAGTGGAACAGAAATAACCACTCCTTTTTGAGTGTATCTTGGGACATTTTTCCAACCGCCTAGTTTGCTTTTCTTTTCCAACAGAATTGAGAAAAATGAGGACACAGTTGAGAATTTTGTGCTTGATGGAGACACCAAACGCAGAGGTGCTTGTCCATCTGAACCACCTGAGCCCATCCTTGCACTTTTGTCATGCAGACCCTGGGAACTGCTTTGGGGATGAGAAAAATGAACATGAAATGGTCTGATCCATATGTAAACCATTATCTTGCTTACAGTTTCATAGACTGATGGAGTTATTGGGAGAGATTGCTTATATCTTCAATGTGACTTCGAGTCTGTCTTTTTATACTTTATTTACAATTATTAGTATTTAATCCCACAGAATGATCTCATTCTCCTATTTTAAGTGTTCTAATTCCAGCACACAATTCCTCTACCTATAGGTGCTAAATATATAATTGTAGGTTGAAAGAATGGTTTGTTCATTCAACCCTAAGCATTCAGTGGTTGCCACATTCTTTGTGTTATATTTTCTCAGTTCCTTCTGTTGGTTAACGTCTAACTGATTAGGCTGAGAACTAGAATTTCTATCACAGTAGTATTCATGCTGAGTAGTCACTGCTTATTGATTTGTCTGGTGGAAAACCTGAAGGCAGAACCTGTATCAGTCAGGGTCTTGGCAGGGAGCCACTGTTTAATCAAATTAAGGCTTAATGGGAGATAATTAATATTTTCTTTTTCCAGAGGTATAGGCAGAGTTAATCACTCCAACAAGGAATGTTGAAGTATCCAGGGTGTCGCTACAGTGGGAAGCTATTCTCATCCCTAGGCCTGAATGTCAATGAGACAAGGGAGTTATCAGAATCTGGAATGGAGCTACAGCCAAGGGGCTTCCTGAGAGGAGCAGTGGCCAAATGTGATTGAGACTCACTGGTAAAATGATTCACCAACCACAGGCAGAGGCTGATCATCATAGGCCTCCTATCAATGACTTATGTTTCATTAATAAGTCACCATCAATGCCTCTTTCATTTTGATAGCCTCCTCTCAGGCTTCAGGTTTTGAGATAACTTGTCTATCAGACAACATTTTAAAGTAGTAACTATTTTTCTCATTGCTATCAACCAAAATCACACATTAATGCTGAGCATTTTACAGACTACTGAACAGAAGTTCGGTATAAAATAACTAGGGATACCAGACTGAGTTTTTAAATCCCAGTCAGAAGAAAAGTAATTTGACATACTTGTTACCCTTTGCAGTCTTAGCAAGAGAAAGACATGTGCTTGTTTATTATCTAAACTAGCACTTTGCCCCTAATACTTCTCAAAGCTGAAGGACTCTCTAAGAATGAGAATCGATGAAATAAGTCTTCGGATTTGATAAACTGGTGTCCCATAGGGAAATTAAGGCCAATGTGAAATTTGCAGTTGACTTTTGTGGTGACTACCTTCCCCTTTTATAATCTGAGTGTAATATGCATTTATATATGATTTTTTTTTCAGCTCTATAGAATAATCTACTGCTCAAAAGGAGATTTGCAGCTGGAAGAGGCAAATTACTATGACAAATGAATCTGTTTTCTCTACCAAGGTAACCTACTAATTTATGAAACACACTTGGGACTTTAAGCAGGATATTTGGCACCACACCTTCTAATCACACCCACTCTTTGTTGTGTAGCTGGATTCTGTTTCCTCATTTAACACATGGTTTCTTTCTCTAAAAATGAGAATAAATAATCTTGTTCTTTGAGAAACAAAGTTGGAAATTTAGGTATTTTTATAGCACTATTTTGTGTATCAGTTTTGAGATAACTGTTTTCAGATACTGGGAAGCGATCAGGCCATATCTGGTTTCAGAGTTGTATAGCTGTTATAGGCTGAACATTAGGTAACATATTGAGTTTTTAGTCTGTTTGAGCTCCAGTATTGGCTCGTTTCTCTCTTGAACTTTACATCCACAATTCAGTGTTAGGGAGAGTCAAGAATACAAGTGTTTTCATCATTAACCATTAACTTTTAAAACATTGTGAATCCTGTGTATGATTAGCTCAACTTTCAGCTTCCAGAATTCAGAAATATGGTAAAAATCACCAGGACAAACTTTTAACATTTTTCACAAGTATTCCCAAAGTGATGATCAAAGCTTATAGTAACAGATCCTTTAAAAGAAAGGGCTTCCCTATGGGCTGGGTCCTTCAACCAGGGAGAGTTGATTAAGAAAATCTTATCACTTTCCTTACAATTTTATAGAACAGAAGTCATGTTAAACTGCAGTAGTAGTGAAAGGAGCATTTAAGAAGTGGTCTCAACTGAGGTTTGTAACCTCAACTTAGGTTACAGTGGTCTCAAGTGAGGTTTCAGGTGAAGGGCCAGCGGAGCCCCTTTGCCTTGGTTCCAACAGAAGAGTGACACATGCCAAGCATGTAGGTATGAGTGTCCCAGATCCTTTTGGGCTTTAGCTGCTTACCACATGGTGAGAAGGGACTGTAATAGAAATCCAAAGTGGACTTTAAAAAATATATATGGCTTTATATATAGTCAAAAGAGTGCACCTTTTTCTCTCAGCTCAGACATGAATTTGGCTTAGGAAGCAGAAATGGGGTTGGGGAGGGTGGGAGCAGGGCATACAATGCTCTTCTGAAAAAATAGGGACATGAGGAAGATATGCCAGCAACTCTCTATCAGGATGAAGGATCCTTTCTATTAGCCTTTGAGCATTGGAATCCTTATGCTTTTGGTGCTTCTCTGTAGCATTGGAGAGATAGATAGAAGGAGACTGCCTCCTCTTGCTGGGGTCAGTATTTTCTGCATCCCGTGAATGGAAGTGAGAATAGCCTTGGAAGCTGATGCGGAAGGTGGGAGAATCTGATGCTTTCAGTCTCCAGTGAACTAAAGAGTCTTCTTACTTTCAGTGCTTGGGAACTGCTGCAATACATGGGCTGCTCCAGCTTATTTCCTTAAACCTCCACTCACCAGATTTTCAGTTGCTGCACAGGTGGAATGGTGGGTCAAGTTCTAAATGTCACATGACTGTCTTGTTTGTTTATATGTTGGGTGCAGCCAGTGGAGTACTCAGGCCCTAAAGAACCCCTTTGGGATGAATAAACATACCAGAGTCCTTGCTAGTTCTACCTGTGAAGTGTTTGCTACAGTCTGAAAGTTTAGGTAACCCCAGTATTCACATGTTAAAATTCTGAAACTCCCAATCTCCGTGACAGCATTTGGAGGTGGAGCCTTTGGGAGGTGATTAGGTCATGGGGAAAAGGCATCATGAATGGGATTAGTACTCTTATGAAACAGACCTGAGGCCAGGTATGATGGCATATGCCTGTAATCCCAGTGCTTTCACACGTTGAAAGGTAGGATCGCTTGAGCCCAGGAGTTCAAGACCAACCTGGGCAACATAGTGAGACCCTGTCTCTAGAAATAATTTTAAAATTAGCTCAACATAGTGATGTGTGCCTATAGTCCTAGCTACTCAGCAGGCTGAGGTAGGAGGATCACATGAGCCCAAGAGATCAAGGCTGCAGTGAGTAGGAAGGTATTTGTCTACAAACCAGGAAGAGGGCCCACATCCAAACTGCCAGCACCTTGATCTTGGACTTGCCAGCCTCCAGGGCTGTGAGAAATAAATTCCTGTGGTTTGTAAGACATACAATCCATGGTGTCTTGTTACAGCAGCTCAAATGGACTGAGGGAGTATTCCTGGTCCATCTCACATCTTAGGCTACATGTCCTAGAGAATACACGCTGAGAAGAAAAAGCTTTCAGGTGTTTCAGGGCATCTCCCATTACCCCCAAACCTCTTCTTCCTAAGTCATGAAGTGAGGGGATTCAGAACTACCTGAAGCACAGAAATTTATACTAGGAGACCACATAACACCCTTTCATTGGCTGTCAGGCCCATAGGGTAACCCAGTGCCCAGAGCCCCCTCACTTGAGATCTTGGAGATTCCCTGTCAAAGCCCTAGAAAGACCAGAGTTGAAGGCTACCACTGCAGCTCAATGCAATTTCCATTTCACCTTCCAGTAAGAGCTTTCAACACCTCCCTGTTCCTCCTAAAATCCCTTCACTGGTGATGGCCCAGAGTGTAGTCTCTGCCTGAAGTCTCACCAGCTCAGAACTGAGGTTCCATTATGAGAAATGCTCATACTTCCAAGAACCTGGAGTAGGTAGATGGGTTGGGTAGGGCAGGGCAATGGACATGTTTGGATATACCAACAAGGAAAGAGGAAAGTCAAAGTCATCTTCTTCCTTATGGGCAATGCTCAGTTTCCTGTCTATAAAATGGGCAAAATTCCCTTTTCCACCTGCTTGCTGGAGTAGTAGTGGAAGGCAGGTGAATTAGGAAGAATAATCAGACCCTCAGCGGCATCAGTGGATTCTTACACTCTCTGAACAATTAAGGTTAGAGGCAAGCAATATTTTTCCCAAGAAGCTGCAGAGAAATCATGAGGAGTTAAAGTTTCTGTTATTCTACTAACTGTTAACCTTTGGAACAGTCACTTCATATTATTCAACTTCAGTTTTTGCCTGTATGAAAGAGAACTATAATATCAAATATCTTGTAGCGTTTCCATGATAAACTATGGAGATGAGGTCTGTCCAGTTACAAATGAGAGAAATTCACCCTCAAATTTTGTTGAGCAGCTCTCCCTGTGTGGTGGCCATCCCCTCCCACTGCATATCTGCTTTCCCTGAGCAGTGGATAAATAGAATACAGATGGCTCAAGACTCAGATCATTGCAGCACAGCAGTGCCAGAAGAAAGAAAACATCCCCCTCCTAGAATCTTTCCATAAAAATCTCAAAGAAGAGCTCGAATGAGCATGGCTGGGGCCTTGTGTTCATCCCAGGATCAATATCTTTGAATGGAACAATGTGATGCTGTGATTGAACAGAATTGGGTCTTGCAGTCATCTCCATGGCTGGGCTGTTGCAGTGGTGAGCCCATTTGAACAACATGGAGCCAGGGAAGGATAATTCCCAAATGAAGAGTATTTAACATAAAAAGAAGAAAGAATAGAATGCTCTGAATTCAGTAATAACAGACATCCATGACAAATTGAGAATGTATTAAGTCATGGAATACAAGGTGGTGTGAACAACCAAACAAAGAACAGCATTGGAAGGCACTTGGACCTCAGCAACACTGGAACAGAACTTGGCTTCAGCACAGATTTCCTCTTTACTGTAATATCTGCTTCTTTGTATAAGTTTGCTTCTTTTTACTTCGCCATACACTGGCTTTCTCCACATGTCATGAAACATAGTGGGTATTAGTACCACTCCCAGTGGTTCGTGTTCTCTACTCCCACCAGTCGTACATGCTCTTTTCATAGAAGGGTTGATATGGAAGCAAGGCGTTTAGGCAATTCTGAGATACAGAAAAGCTTCACTTTGTGAGCCACATGTTCGTCTTCTGCCCCTTTTCTGGAGTCATCCATCTCCTGTGTATTAGCCAACCTTGGTAGATGGCTATTTAGCTCATCATCTGACCAATACGATTTTTTCAAATTTTATTTTTTGTGGATACATAGTAGGTGTACATATTTATGGGTTATGTGAAGATTTTTGGTATAGGCATGCAATGTGTAATAATCACATCAGGATAAAGGGAGTATTCATCATCTCAGCCATTTATCCTTTGTGTTATGAATAATCTAATTATACCCTTTTAGTTATTTTTAAATGAGCAATTAAATTATTGTTGACTATAGTCACCCTGTTTTGCTGTCAAACTTACTTATTCTAACAATATTTTGGTGCCTATTAACCATCCCACTTCCCCCAACCTACCCCCATTACCCTTTTTAGCATCTGGTAGCCTTCTTTCTACTCTCTATCTCCAAGAATTCAATTGTTTTGATTTTTAGCTCCCACAAATAAGTGAAAACATGTGAAATTTGTCTTTCTGTGTCTGGCTTATTTCACTTTCCATAATGATATCTAGTTACATCAGTACTGTTGCAAATAACAGGATCTCATTTTTTTGTGGCTGAACAGTACTCTGTTGCGTATATTTACCACAAGTTTTTTTCTTTTCTTTTCTTTTTTCTTAAGAGATGAGGTCTTGCTTTGTCACCCAGGCTGGAGTACAGTGGTGTGACCATGGCTCACTGCCACCTTGAACTCCCAAGCTCAAGGGATTTTACTGTCTTAGTATCTTGAGTAGCTGGGTCTAGAGACATGAGCCACCATGCCTGGCTAATTTAAAAACAAAATGTAGAAATGGGGCCTTGACATCTTGCCCATATTGGTCTCAAACTCCTAAACTGAAACAATCCTTCTGTCTTTCCCTCCCAAAGTGCTAAGATAAAAGAAATGAGCCGCCACGCCTGACCTCACATTTTCTTGATCCATTTATCTGTTGAAGGACAATTTTGGCTATTGTGAAGAGTGCCACAGCAAACATGAGAATGCACATATCTCTTCGATATTCTCATTTCCTTTCTCTTGGGTATATACCTAGTAGTGAGACTGCTGGATCATACGGTAGCTCTATTTTTAGTTTGTTAAGGAACCTCCAAAACTGTTCTGCATAACTAATTTACATTCCCACTAACAGTTTACAAGGGTTCCCTTTTCTCCACATCTGTGGGGGAGAAACCCCGCAAGAACCAAGGCAAGGGTCTGAAGCCTCATCATATAAACAGAAAATTAGAAAAGAATTAGAGATATAGTTACATAGTTACTCCTATATATAATCATAATCACATAGCTATTCATATGTAATCATAAATATATACATCTATATAATAATATAATCTTTAATCTTACTAATAAATCTCAGGTCAAGAAGTATGGGACTTAAGTGGCATTGGAAAAGAGGTGACCCTAAGGCAAGATGCTCTAAGTCCTGTGTCACGCCCATGTAAGGGCTGCTGGAGGACGCCTTGGCTGTGTGACAGTGTCAGCGCTGTGAAAGCACCTGCTGTTGAGCCAGCTAGGGAAGGAGACATTAAAGATGGCTGAGACATCTCCTTCCTTGGGGGAGTGAGGAGAAAACTCTGCTCTTGTGGTAAGCCTCATGGCTGTCAGGGAGGCCCACAGACATCCGGGGACTTAATTGTCTCTATGTGGTGCTGTTCTTCACTGGTCACTTTCCATGTCTACTTTCAAGTTCTGCTTCTGCACCTGGTTCCTCTTTTTCTTAGAAGATAAGAATTAGTAATAGTAACATAAATCTTAGTGACCTTGTTATTTCTTGACAAGTATGAAAAAAGTGCTGATGCCTTAGGTTTTCTCCTCACCTCAGCTTCTTCAAAGTCTTGGCCCCCTGTCTCCAAGACACATGATTTACCTGACCCTATCACTGACCACCATTACCTCATCCTACCTGCCCTTCACCCTGCTTTGTACTCAATAAAAGTCAGAGCGTCCAGGCGCTTGGGGCTGCTGCAATTTGGTAGCAGTGGAACCCTGGGCCCAAACTCTGTTTTCTCTTTCTTTGTGTCTTGTGTCTTTTATTTCCACAGTTTCTCGTCTCCACACCAGCAGAGAGGGACTCATGGGACCCTGTGGGGCTGGACCCTATACATATCCTTGCCAGAATTTATTTCCTGCCTTTGAATAAAGCCATTTTAACTAGAGTGAGATCACATTTCATTGGGGTTTTGATTTGCATTTATCTCATGATCCATGATGTTGAGCACCTTTTCATATAGCTGATTGCCATCTGTATGTCTTCTTTTGAGAGATGTTTACTCAGACCTCTTGCCCATGTTTTAATTGGATTATTAGACTTTTTCCTATAGAATTGTTTGAGCTCCTCATGTATTCTGGTTATTAATCTCTTAGATGGGTAGTTTGAAAATATTTTTTCTCATTCTGTGGATTGACTCTTCACTTTGTTGATTGTTTCTTTTGCTGCGCAGAAGCTTTTTAATTTGATGTGATCCCATTTGTCCGTTTTTGCTTTGGTTGCCTGTGCTTGTGGGGTATTACTCAAGAAATCTTTACCCACTCCAATGTCTTGGAGACTTTTCTGAAAGTTTTCTTTTAGTAGTTTCATAATTTGAGGTCTTAGATTTAAATATTTAATACATTTTTATTTGATTTTGTATATCATCAGAGATATGGGTCAAGTTTCATTCTTCTGTATATCGGTATCCAGTTTTCCCAGAACCGTTTATTGAAGAGACTGTCCTTTACCCAATGTATGATATTGGCTTCCTTTACCCAATGTATGATATTGGCAGCTTTGTCAAAAATGAGTTCACTCTAGCTGTATGAATTTGTTTCTGGGTTTTCTTTGCTATTTCCTTGGTCTATGTGTCGGTTTTTATGGAAGTACCATGCCGTTTTGCTTACTATAGTTCTGTGCTATCATTTAAAGTCAGGTAATGTGCTTCCTTCCGTTCTTTGGCTTAGGATATCTTTGACTATTCTGGGACTCTTGTGGTTCCATATTAATTTCAGGATTGTTTTTCTATTTCTGTGAAGAATGCCTGGTATTTTGATAGGGATTGTACAGAATCTGTGGATTGCTTTTGGTAGTAGGAACATTTTAAAAATATCTATTCTTCCAATCCATGAACATGAAATATCTTTTCATTTTTTTGTAGCCTCTTAAATTTCTTGCATCAATGTTTTATAGTTTGCATTGTAGAGATCTTTCACTACTTTGGTTAAGTTAATTACTAGGTATTTTATTTTGTTGATTTGTAAATAAGATAGCTTTCTTGATTTCTGTTTTAGATGGTTTGCCATTGGCATATAGAAATGCTACTGATTTTTATATCTTTATTTTGTATCCTGAAAGTTTACTGCATTTGTTGATCAGTTCTGATAGTTTCCTTGTTGGAGTCTTTGGGTTTTTCCAAATATAAGATTGCATTATCTGCAAACAAGGATAAATTTGAATTCTTCCTTTCAATTTGGATGCCCTTTATTTCTTTCATCTGGTTGCACTAGCTAGGTATCTAGTACTATGTTAAATAATGGTGGTAAAAATGGCCAGCTTTATCATGTTCCTGACCTTAGAGAAAAGACTTTCAGTTTTTCCCCACTCAGGAGGATACTAGCTATGGGTCTGTCATAGATAGCTTTTATTATGTTGAGGTACATTCCTTCTATGCCCAGTTTCTTGAGGATTTTCAACATCTCATGATGCAATATTGAATTTTTATGAAATGCTTTTTCAGCATTCATGGAAATGATCATATGATTTTTGTCCTTTATTCTGTTGATATGATGGATGTATCACAGTAATTGATTTGCATATGTTGAATCATCCTGGAATCCATGGGACAAATCCCACTTGGCCATGATGAATGGCCTTGTTAATGTGTTTCTGAATTGTTTGCTAGCATTTTGGTGATAATTTTTGCATCAATATTCATCAGAAATATTGGCCTGTAGTTTTCTTTTTTTAATGTATCTTTGTCTGGTTTTGGTATCAGAGTAATACTGGCCTTGTAGAATGAATTTGAAAATATTCCCTCCTCCTCTGTTTTTAGAATAGTTTGAATAGAATTGATATTAATTCTTCAAAAGTTTGATGGAACTCACAAGTGAAACCATAAGATCCTAGGCTATTATTTGCTGGGAAATCTTTTATTATGGCTTTGATCTCATTACTTCTTATTGGTCTGTTCAGGTTTTGGATTTCTTCATGGTTCAATCTTGGTAGGTTGTATGTGTCTAGGAATTTATCCATTTCTTCTGGATTTTCCGGTTTAGGCATCCAGTTATTCAGAGTAGCCACTAATGATCCTTTGAATTCCTGAAGTATCAATTGTAATGTCTCCTTTTTCATCTTTGATTTTATTTAAATGTATCTTCTTTCTTTTTTTCTTAAGTGACCTGGATACATTTGTCAAAAAAGACCAACTTTCAGTTCTCTTACATTATCCTTTTCAATAAACGTTCTACTCCTATCACTTTCTCTACCTCTTGTCTAAGATTTGTCCCTCTGAGGCTTTTTTCTAGATCTTGTAGGCATGCTTCTTTCTTTTTAATTCTTTTTTCTTTTTGTCTCCTCTGTGTACTTTCAAATAGCCTATCTTCAGTCTCACTAATTCTTTCTTCTGCTCGATCAATGCTTCTATTAGGAGACTAAGATGCATTCTACAGCATGTCAATTACATTTTTCAACTCCAGAATTTCTGCTTGATTCTTTCAAATTATTTCAATCTCTTTGTTAAATTTATCTGTTAAAATTCTGAATTCCTTCTCTGTGTTACTGTGAATTTCTTCAAATGTCCTCAAAACAGCCATTTTGAATTATCTTCCTGAAAGGGCACATATCTCTATTTTTCCAGGATTTGTTCCTAGTGTATTAAGTAGTTCATTTGATGCCATAATGTTTTCCTGGATGGGCTTGATGCTGGTGAATGTTCATCAGTGTCTGTACATTAAAGATTAGCTATTTATAGTAGTTTTGCAGTCTGAGCTGCTTTGTACCTTGAGAACTTCTTCAGAAGGCTCTCCAGGTATGAAAGAGACTTGAGTGTTGTGATCTAAGCCATATCTGCATTAGGAGATCTCCAAGTTCAGTAATGCTGTGCTTCTTGAAGACTCATAGAGGTGCTCTTGGTTCTTGCAGACTCAACTTGGTGGTTTTGGAGAAAATTGAGAAAAATTCTCTGGATTACCAGGCAGAGACTCTTGTTCTTTTCCCTTATTTTCTTCCTAATAAGTGGAATTTTTTTTCTTTGTGCTGAGTCATATGAATCTGAGGGTAGGATGACACAAGCACCTCTGTCGCCACCACCACTGTAACTACTGCCTAGCTCTAAATCAGTAAGAACACTTTAGCCTGTGGTATCAAGGCTTGCTGAAACTTAAAGTTTAGTCAACTGGGATGGACACTTCCTTTCTGCTAGGGCTGGTCTAAATGCTTCCTCGGTTGGGGGAATTAGCTGAGTTCAGTCCAAATTTGTTTTTGCTATGACAGGGCAGCACTGAGTTTACTTCAAAGTCCCACTATCACTGCACTCTCCCTCCCCCACGTGCACAGCTTCTCTGCACCACAAAGCTGCTGCCTGGAGATGATAGAGGGGTAGTAGCATCAGTAACCCAACACTATCTTTTCTCCCCTTTTCAGTGTCTCATTCAGCTACATGAAATTAAAGCCTGGTACTGTGATTGCTCTTCTGATTTTTGGTTCTTATGAAGGTACTTTTTTGTGTAACTAGTTGTCAAATTTGGTGCTCCCGGTGGGGGCTGAGTTGGTGATCAGTGGAGGCTTCTATTTGACCATCTTGCTCTGCTCCTCCAACAAGTACAATTTTAAGGATGAGAATCTAATACTCTGCTGATCCATCCAAAAGCAGAGCTCAGGCAGTAATGCAATTGTTGGGGAGTGGCTGTAAAAACAGATGACATTTTGTTAACTCTCCCATCACTCACCTCCTCCTGTGTGGCCTGGTTCCTTAATAGTCCATGGACTGGTTCTTGTTGGTGGGACCCTTGAAGTATATGACTGATTATGAATGAATAACTTATGCATAAGTTACCTGAGGATCTTATTAGAACATAGATTCTTCTTCAGTAGGCAGAGTGGGCCATGAAATTCAATATCTCTAATAAACTCCCCAATGATGCCTATGTTACTGGTCTGTGAACCTGTTTGAGTAGCAAGGGCTTAAGCCATTGTTAGTTAGTATTTTGTAACTTGGAACCCAGGTACCATTATAGATAGTGCCTAATCTATATGCATTCCTCTGCCTTAAATTGGCACTTCCAAGTTCCCATGAAGTGATTACTTCTCTCATTTTCTCTGTGATTCTAACTTTAAAATATTGTATTATCTAATGCTAGGATATTTCTTGACTATACAGTTTTACTTCTATCCATGAAAAATTATCCTTTCTGTCAGGTCTCAAGCTTCTTTGATGTTTATTAAGCCATCCTGATTTTTTTTTTTTTTTTTTGCTTAAATTTGCCCAATAAATATGTTTAAAACCTATTGAGTACTCAAAAAATATTAATTGAATGAAAAGAAATACTACCATCTATTTTTTATATTTTTGATCTTTATTATTTTGGTTCAAGATATATCTTTCTGGCTTTTTTTATCCTATTCTAGGGTCTCTTGATAAGTATCTAGAGGTTGTCCAGATTGCTAATTTGAAGTCAAGAGTATCAATTCTGGTCTTTATTATTTCCATTTTGAGTTTTTATTTGTTGGCTTGTTTGCTTGTTTGCTTTTACTATTATATCTTTAGTTTACTGTTTGTTGTTCATTCACTTGGATTCCACTTGGAGCCCAGCCTTTACCTTAGCTTAACAGATCAAAGCATTCATTTAATGGAGGCTATACTATTCATACACTTGGAGAAGATCAATGAACCAATTGCTTTCTAAAATTATGATTTGTTTCTTATAAAAAGTTATTTTCTTTTATGTTTTGAGGTGTTGTCTTCATCCCCCTCACCTTGTTGCAGTATTGTTTTATAGGCCCCATATTAACTTCTTCTTGTTTCCTTTTTCTTATATAAAATTGTTTCTGATACTGCATTTCTCAAAAGATAAGATGAGTGGAACAGTCTTAAGCTTCCATTCTATCCACTTGGGAGCTTGTTTGGTAGCTAAAGTTAAATTCTATTTCCATGCACAGCACGTAGCCATGCAATATGCAGTTCTCAAGCAACATAATACATGGGACTAGACCTCCTCATGAACTGTTCCCACAAACTAACTCTATCCGCACTTGTAGTACTTTTCCTTAGGTCACACTAAGCATACCAGTATGCCCTGTGCTTTCTCCAGACCCCTTTTATACAATATGTTGCATTCCTGAAGAAGCTTGCATAGAGAAAGAGCAGCAGTAATGTTGCAGGATGTGGCTAGGGGAGGTGGGACAATTCCAATGGGCAAAGACAATACTACATAGTCAGTTCAGGACTGGCAACATTTCCTGATGGTCAGTAGAGCCATTTAATCTGAAAAAGGCACAGAGAAGAGAAATAAAACAAAGTATTTTCGTATTGTCTTTGGCAGTGTTAAGCCCCAGGCTGATTCAAAGGCTGGCGTATATGGTATGCCTCAAAAACTATGCTTCTCAATACAAATGAAAAATCTATTCTGACTGTGGCCTTTGAATTTACATTGTGGATACTAGTTTTTTGTAGTCATTGTTGGCTTCATTGGGTGGAGGCACAGAAGGTATGATTATTCACCTATCACGTTAACCCCGTAATTTAACCCAAATATGCAATAACTAGAAAATTTTGAAACCTGTAGTCAAACCCCAATATTAGTGATGTGTATAATAAAACGCAGAGTTCACATTCTAGATATTTCACCAACTACATGTGACCTGAAAAAATTGCATAATTTCAGAGGACCTTTTATTTTATCATGTGTAAAATAATTTAGACTAAATAATACCATCTAGCTGTAATTTTTTTTGTTTAAAAAAACCTCAAAGTACAATGGAAACGTTTTTGTTTTTTCCTACAGCAATTTAAAGTCCAAAAAGTCTTATAGAGCAGAAGTTCTCATTTTCAAAAGACATAATGCTTAGAATTCATGATACTCTTTACAGAATATCATGTAATATTGACATTACATTTAGAGTAATTATGTAATTCTGGGATTATAGAATAAGCATTTGGAAGCAGATGTTTAAGTTTATGATAGAAAGAGAAAAAATTTATATTATTTTGCTTAATTCTACTTCCTACTATTTTCATGTTCTATATATTCTTTTTAATTATCTTTTTACTTCTAGAAGACTTTTACAAATTGACCTTATAATTAACTTTTACTGAACTTTTCAGATTCTTGAGAATATTTTTTGACATGAGGTGTCCAAACACATATTAAACTTTGCTTGTGTAACTTTGTTAACAAGCTATTAAATTGTTATTAAACTTTGTTGTTTAATTATTCTAAGCATGATAACATAATTCAGAAGAAAATAGGCAACTCTGACTCCATGGCTTAATCACTTGGCTTTATCTGTTGGATCTTTCAGTTACTGTGCAGTGTTTCAAGTAGATTTTAGTCCCATAAGAGTAAGAGTAAACATTTCTTTCTTTCTTTTCCTTTTAAGGGCAGAAGCTTTGAAATATTGAAATGTGTGGTGTCATTCTACCTGGAACATGTCCACATAGAATGAGAAGCATTTTTTTTTTCCTTTTCTTTGGGCACCAGTGCAAACAGGGTGCACATGCAGAGAAAGCGTGACTGGGTTTTTTTACTAGTGTATAACACATGTCTGGGAGTGCTTCCCTCCTAAAAACCATGAGTTGTTCACTTATTTTTCACGTGATACCCTGAAGTCATGAGAGTGCTACCAATTATTCAGTAAACATGTGGCAAATAATGGTAGAAATGGGTGCCCAGAAAGAGGATAAACATGTCTTCATTCAACAACAATGACCTTCAGCTTTGGCAGTAAAAGTAGATTTAAATGACATTGGAATTTTCCACCTAGCTCCAAGACTAGCCTTCTGGTTTAAACTTCTTTATATCTCTATGACATGATCTCCTTCTAAGACCTTCTTCTCAATTGACTTAAAACATCCGTATGATTGGTGGCCAGAGAAATATGGATCATGATTATTGCTATTTACTTCCTGATGTTTAAAATAGAACTTTGAAGTAAGACAATAAACTTAAAAGCCATGCTTTTTAGGGTAGAGAATTTTCTAAACTTTTTTCTTAAAGGCTGAAGAAGACTTAGATTTCTGACACAATGGTAACACCTATAACTTCTGCTTGTGACAGCCAGGGCTTGCTACATAATAATAGCAAGAGAATGTGACACAGAGGAAGGAAGAAAAGTCCACCCTTCTGATAGTAGGGGGTTGTGGAATGGGAGGGAAAAGGGAGAAGGAGCAGTAGAAAACAGTCCATTATAAATGTCCTGATGTCTTCTGCTTGACTTTAGCCCGGAATGAGTGTTAAGAAAGAAGGGATACTCTAGAAGAGGAGGCCATGAAATCTTACTTGGGTCTAGGTAAGCATCCCAACCACAGGCCATCCTGCCTAATCTAGGGCAGAGCCGTGCCAGAGTTTATGTGGCAGTAACGTATGGTTAGACAGAGATAAGCCACGAAGTTTAGCTTTTCAAGGCAGCTTTCTGTGACTACAAGACCAAGGCAGAAAATAAATATCTCATTTCCTTTTTGCAGAGTGGAGCAAGTAGGGAAAAGGGAAATGACTGAACAATCAAGTAACTTGAGAATCAAATAACTTTCCCACCAACAGGGCCTGAATTTGTGAAATGTATCAAGATCTTCACCTTTAGCTTGAGATGGACCATCAGAACGGGAGGTCAGATGAGAGACATGGGGTTTGCTGTGACAACTAGAACTAAGGTGAGCTGAGTGATCAGTAGAGCAACACTGGGCTCTGGCCAACCAAAATAAACCAGACCATGAGCTCCACCAGATAAGGCCTCTGCTACAAGTACAGTAAGTGAGCAGCACCCAGGAAGACAGAGGCATTGTCATGAAGACTGAAGGAAAGAAGAGTATTTCAAGTGCTGAGAAGCTGATCTTCCCCTAGGCAAGGATCTGGGAAAGTCTTCCTTCCCCCAGATGCCCTGGGAGAGAATTGGGGAACATGAAGACTTTGGGAAACTGAGCATTTCTTTTTATCAAAAGATAAAGAGCACAAGGATTATTTAGATCATTATAATAACCTACATTTTTTAAGCATAATTTTAAAAACACATCTTGACTGCATATATGCAAGATTTCATAAATTTTTAACCATGTTAACAATTGCTTACTAAATAAATGAAGGACCCAAATAAGAAAGAAGAGAAAAAATAAGTAAGATCCTTAAAATGACTTGTCTCCTTCAACAGTAGAGTTCTCCAGTAAGAGAAATACTAAAACTTAAGCTATTGCTTTAGCACGAAGATTAAGGTTCCTCCCCACATGTTAGTCCCAGTAAAGAAGAGTCTGAGAAAAAATTGGGAAGTTTATGCAATTTGTTTTCAATTCTTTCAGCATTCAACATTCTACTAAGCTACCTGACTTACCCCAGTTTTGTTGTTGTCGTTAGCCGTTACAAATACATTGCTCTTAGGGAAAACTCTGATATTAGTTATAAATCTCAGGGTGAGTTTATTAATGCTAAATAATGAAAGATGTTATATTTAAAGGCATTTAAAGAACAACAAAATCTAGTTTCCACAACACACACTGGGGCGTGTCAGAAGGCAGTGGGTAGGAGGGAGAGGATCAGGAAAAATAGCTAATGAATGCTGAGCTTAATACTGGGTGATAGGATGATCTGTGCAGTGAACCAGCATGGCATATGTTTGCCTGCATAACAAACTTGCACATCATGCACATGTGTCCCTGAACTTAAAAGTTGAAAATTAAAAATACATATATACCAACAGAGTAAACAGACAACCTACATAATGGGAGTATAGATTCACAAACTCTGCATCCAACAAAGGCCTAATACCCAGAATCTATAATGAACTACAATAAAACTAGCAAAAACCAAATAACCCTATTTAAAATGGGCAAAATACATGAGCAAACAAACACTTCTCAAAAGATACACAAATGGCCAAACATGAAAAGTGGTCCACATCGCTAATCATCAGAGAAACACAAATCAAAAATACAATGAGATACCACCTCACATCAGTCAGAATAGTTATTATCAAAAAGCCAGAAAGTGACCAATTTTGGTGAGGCTACAGAGGAAAGGAAATGCTTATACACTGCTGATGGGAATGTAAATTAGTTCAGCCACTGTGGATAACAGTTTGGAGATTTCTCAAAGAACTTAAAACAAAACAGCCGTCTGAACCAGTAGTCCCATTACTGGGTTTAAACCTAAAATCATTCTACCAAAAAAAACCAAAATCTAGTTTCCATAGCAACTATTTTGTATTATGGAAGAGACACAGATGCTAAAGTAAAAAGTTCTACCACTTTCTTTTTTATGAAGATTGAAACTACATTAGTGAAAGTGCTTTGTGGTCTTTGAAGAATATAGTTATCATTATTATATCAAAGATCAAAAGAGATATTTAGGGCTCAAGGCAGGCCTTCAGGATTACCCTGAGATAGCATTGTGGGCATTGTTTCATGGTCTTTTACTATGTGAGATCTAGAGAAAGAAAGAGAGTTCTAAATGCTCATGTATTGTGGTAGAAAATGCTCAAATTACCCCCTCCTAATACCCTTCTAAGATAAATGTTGGTAAGGAGCCAGGATTGGCGCTTTAGTTTTGTTTACAATGGTGGGGAAGAGTTGAGTTGAAATCAAAACCTTTAGTAATGTAATATAACGGTGTATGGGGTTTGAGTGCCCTACTGCCTCCTAGCAATGAAAAATTTGACTTCTAGAGTTAAGAACTTCTATTTTTGCTAGTCTCCCCCAAATTGTCACCCTGCGAATGTACACATTTTTTATTCATAGTAGTAGGGATATTGATTTTTTGCTTACCATACTGGTTAGTCCCCTGAAAAGCTGAGTAGTATTTATATGATTGATAAGCTTATATACCAATAAAACCCAGGCTCTGGCTTGAACAGTTATGGATGGGGAATGATATGTCTTGGTTTGCTGAGAATATAACTACAAAATAATTATTAATGACTTACCTATCACTCTCAGAAGTGTTCTGGTTCTGACAATTAATTATATGATCACTTTACTTTTCCTGTGTGTGAACCAGAACTGGGGCACATGGGCACCCTTGATAAAACCCAGATTTAATCAGCTGCAAAAATCTTCCTCAGAAAAAGAAAAGCTCAAAGTTTCAATAATTCGAATTTTATGTTAATTTTTAGCATCTCTGATGTTGGGTGACCTATTTCAGAAATATTGTAGCAATCAAAAGAATAATAGAGAATAACAATTAACTTCTGCTACTTTGTGGATCATGCAAGCTAGTATAAGATTAGAAATACAAAACATCAATGTAATTGATTTGATTTGATAGAATCATAAAAATTACTCTTAAAATTAGAATGAATGATGTCTATATTCACTAATTAGATAATATTTAAATATTAAGCATTTCAGACATTTTGAGTATCGTTTTGTATAATGGGGTCCATCTTGATGAAGTTCCTAGTCATTTGGAAATAATACGTACAATTTCATCATTGTATATAATGTTCAATTAATGTTAATTAGCTGAAGTTCGTTGGTAATGTTGTATTACTCAGGTCTAGTATATCCTCACTAATATCCTTTCTACTTCTTCTATCAAGTACTTATATGAGAATGTTGAATTCACTCTCATGGTGTTGAATTCACTTGATAGAATTCAGTACTTCTGTCAAGTAATGATATGAGAGCGTTTAATGAACTCTATGACCCTGTAATGATATAGAACAATAGGACTTATTCCTCCTACCTAGCTATAATTTCATATATATTAACCAACCTCTCTCTATCCCTCACTTTCCCCAAATCTTACCAGCCTCTAGTGAGCATTCTGCTTTCTATTTTTATAAGATCAACTTATTTAGCTTCCTCATATGAGTGAGAATATGTAGTATTTATCTTTCTGTGTCTGGCTTATTTCATTTCATGTAATGTTCTCCAAACTCCTCCATGATGCCACAAATGACAGGATTTTCTTTTTTTGGCTTAAAGTCTATTTTATCTGATGTAAGTTTAGCTACTCCTGATCATTTTTGGTTTCCATTTGAATGGAATATCTTTTTCCATCCATTAACTTTAAAGCTATACATGTTTTTAAAGGTGAAGTGAGTGTTTTATAGGAAGCATATAGTTGGGTGTTGATTTTTTAATTCATTCATTTCAAAAAATTATCCATTTTTTAATCCAATGGTTTTTTAAGCTATTTTATATCTTTTAATTGGGAGATTTAATCCATTTTTATTCAAGGTTACTATTGATAGCTGAGGTCTTACTCCGCTCAATTTGTTAACTGTTTTCTTGTTGTTTTGTGCATTCTTTCCTTCTTCCTCTTGTATTGTGTATCATTTTGATTGGATGTACTTCTGTAGTGATAAGTTAGATGCCTTTCTCTTGCTCATTGGTGTATCCATTCTGCCAGTGAGTTTTATTTTCTAATCTGCTTTCTTATCCTTTCATTTCTATACGCAGGATTCCCTGAAGTATTTCTTAGAAGATCAGTCCAGTGGTGATAAATTTCCTATTTTTGCTTGTCTGGAGACTTTATTTAGCCTTCATTTTTGAAGAATATCTTTGCTGAGTGTAGTATTCTTGGCCAGCAGGGGTGTTTTCAGCACCTTAAATATGTTGTTCCATTCTTTCCTAGTGTGCAAATTTTCTGCTAAGAAAACTGTTGTTAGTCTAATGGAAATTTCCTTATATGTGACTTAATGTTTTTCCCTATTTTTAAAATCCTTTCTTTCTCTTTGCCTTTTGAAAGCATGAGCTCAGTAGACCTTGGAGGGGAGCTTTTTGGGTTAAGTATATTTGAGACCTTTGAGAGCTAGACATCCTGGATATCCTGGACCTAGATTTTCATATTTCTCTTTAGACATGGGAAATTTTCAGCTGTTATTTTCTTAAATATGTTCACTATGCCTCTTCCCACTTCTACTTCTGCATCTCTCAGATTCATATATTTCATTAAGGCTACTTAATGATATCCTGTAAGTCCTATAAGCTTTGTGAAAGAAAAATAAATCTTGGGACCCTAAAATCCCTAAGCTAGATGGAAAAGCCAATCTGGAGCTGCAAGGGCAAACCTACCTTCCATTCTATTCCTAAATAAGATAGCTACAAAAAAAAAAAAAATTAAACCTACATACCTTCCACACGAGTTGCCCACAAGGAAATTTTTTGTGAACAAAGGACAGACAGAACTCAAAGTCATCCCTCTGCTTATGTGAGACAAATGCCTATCTGATTGCTTCCTTTGACCTATTGTTTCACTAAGCCAGATCAAGGCATAAGTGACTATTCCTATAAATTGTGTATTTAGTGAAAGGCTAATCAGAAACTCAAAAGAATGCATCTACTTGCCTTTTATCTACTTATGACCTAGAAGCTGCCTCCCAGCATCAAGCTGTCCTGCCTTTCTGGACTGAACCAATGTACATCTTACATATATGGATTGAAGACTCATGTCTCCCTAAAATGTATAAAACCAAGCTGTTCCCTGACCACCTTGGGCACATGTCATCAGGCCCTCCTGAGACTGTGTCATGGGCATGTTCTTAACCTTAGCAAAATAAACTTTCTAAATTGATTGAGATGTCCCTGGTTTACAACTTTTTCATTCTTTCTTATTTATTTATTTATTTTATCTGACTGAATTATTTCTAAAGACTTCGCTTCAAGTTCAGAAATTCTTTCATCTGCTTGACCTAGTTTAATGTTGAAGCTGTGATTGTATTTTTCATTATATTCCTGAAATTATTTAGCCCAAATTTTTGGGGTTTTTTTGTTTGTTTGTTTGTTTGTTTGTTTTGATGGAGTCTCACTTTGTTGTCCCCACTGGAGTGCAGTGGTATGATCTGGGCTCACTGCAACTTCTGCCTCCTAGGTTCAAGTGATTCTCCTACCTCAGCCTCCTGAGTAGCTAGGATTACAGGCACACACCACTACACCTGGCTAATTTTTGTATTTTTAGTAGACATAGGGTTTCACCATGTTAGCCAGGCTGGTCTCAAACTCCAGACCTCAAGTGATCTACCCACCTCAGCCTCCCAAAGTGCTGGGATAAATTAACTTTTCAACTACAATACTGGTTTGTTTGTGAATTTGTTTATAATTTATCCCAATGAACATTGCATATTAGAATATAATGATGTAAAATGTAAAGACAACTAAATATTTAAATTCCCAACATTCACCTGTGATTGTAATATAACTTAGTTACTATCATTCTTGTTTCCATAAAAAGAAAGCCTTGGGAAAATATTTTCAAAATAAAATAAATTGTTAATAGCTATCTCTAAAACCTTGACAAGTTTTTTAAAGACTCTGTGCAAGATGCACATTAGAAACATACAGAGGAGAGAGATCCAAGATGGCTGATCACTAGCAGCTCGGGATTGTAGCTCCCAGTGAAAGTGCAGAGAACGAGAGGACGCCATACTTTCAGACGAATTTTTGTTGCTCACGCACCAGAAGATTCCCAGCAGAGGAGCCTCATGGGTCGCCAGTGCGACTCTTGTGGCCGGCGAGGTGGTTTTGCTGCTGCCTTGGTGCGGCAGTTCTTGGTGCAGAGTCAGAAAAGCACCAACAATCTTAACGCCACTGTTTTGGCCGGCGCAATGGGTTGCTCAGATTTTAGCGCTGGGAATCAACAAGTTGGATGTCCACTCAAAAACCCAATTATAAAGGCGGTAATTGTAAAGACCACAGATGGATAAATCTATAATGAAGAGAAGAAACCAGCCTAAAAAGGCTGAGGATACCCAAAATCAGAACGCCTCTCCCTCTACGGGGGATCACAGTTCCTCATCAGCAACGGAACAAGACCTGATGGAGAACGAGTGTGTTCCATTAACAGAAGCAGGCTTCAAAAGGTGGATGATAAGAAACTTCAGTGAATTAAAAGAACTTGTTCTAACCCAACGCAAAGAAACTAAAAACTTTGAAAAAAGGTTTGATGAAATGTTAACAAGAATACACAATTTAGAGAGGAATATAAGTGAATTAATGGAGCTGAAAAACACAACACGAGAACTTAGTGAAGTATGTACAAGTTTTAAGAGCCAAATTGAT